AACTTATCTGTGAACACATAAAACTAACCACAAACAATTGAGTAGGTTACAGGTTAATACTGTAAATAACACAGGGGACAGCTTGCAGTAGTAGGGAGTACAAATATAACCCATAAAACTTAGTGAACAAGGTGCAGCATTGACACCCTTTTAAATCATCAGTGGTCTTCAATAGAGCACAACTGACACTCTTCCCTCTCCTTTACTGTTCCACATTGTACATTCCCTTCACTTTTTAAATCACCACTGGATTCATTCCAAGAGCTCAAGGATGTCATGGTTTGTGACCCTCTCGCAAATGTATTTATTCTAGCGACACTTGCCCTGCAGACCAGAATCACGAGAGGCCATCCAACACAGAATCATCTCTCTCTCCCTTGCGATCACCAGCTTGCCTGAACAGAAATCCTACCAGCTGAGGCAGAAAGTCACTTCAATTTGTCGAGTAGTCCAGCTGTGAGTTCAGTAAATGAAAGCTGACTGGTGGTTCCTGATGCTGAACACAAAAAACATTTCTGCCCCTCTCTGCCCATTTAGAAGAGTATTGGTTAGAGTACTCGCCTCGCAAATGAGAAGGCCTTTGATTCAGGGGCAGGGTGAAACCTTAGGCAAGTTTCTTTACTCCATACGAGGATCGCTTTCTGGGAGTAATATTCCCTCAAAAAAAATTGAGTGAATGAATCCAAAACTGTTTGTGGGACACTGCTGTGCGCAACTGGCTGCTGTGATTTGCCCACAAAATACAGTCAATCCACTTCACAAAACATTCTATGAAGCGCATTGAGACTTCTCAATATAAGGCGCTATATCAAATGCAAGGATTATTATTAAAAACTCAGCCCTGAACACATCCCAGCTATTCCAAGCTGTATCAATTATCTAAAGCAAAGGGCTCAGACTCCCAAATGTAAGCCTTTCTGCTTCCCCTCATGGATTATTGCAGCCTTTGCTCCTTGTTAAATAATCCAGTCAAAATATTACACTTCTCTAGTGGAGTTATATTTGGACAGCAGCTTAAAAAAAATGTCCAACAGAATATCTATCTCACTGCTCCCACGTGCTGACCAATAATAAATGCTTTACCCAAAACAATACAAAAACCGTTCAACTTCCAGGATCGCCTTATCTAAACCAATTAAAGACCACCGTTCACTTGGGGAGAAAAGCTCTGTTGGCCACAGACTATTCCACGGGCACTTTGCCCAGCCCTCCTGGGACTCTGAAACAAGCACAGTTTTCGCTCCACGGTACTGACACAAACAAAAGCTTTCTTCTCAAACAGCTAGAATGCTGGCATAGTACAACTTTACACTCCTGCGGCAGGAAGATTGCTGGAGGTGCAAGGGGGAAGATTGGTGGAGAGAGGGAAGAAGGGAAAAAGAAATGACTCAGAGATCCAGATACTCTCCCTCCCTGTATTTGCTTCTACCCCTGCAGCTTGGAGGCAGACGAAGAGGAAAAAATAACATACAAGTACGAAGAGGTAGAACGCTATGAACAGGAAATGAACGGCACAGTGGAATTTCAGATCTGAATCAAATGTGTGCTTTTGTGGGCTGGACTATTAAATATACCTGGCTAGCCTTCAGCTGCAAGCTGTTCATCCAGAAGAACGTGACACTGGACTAATCCAGGTTCAAATTACAGCCACAGCCAGTTAAGGAGATCTTGACAGCGCTTTCACAACAGATAACCGTGACGCCGTAAATCTTGGGTGACCTCGGCTGTCATCAACTTTCACATAATCTGTGTTCCACGTGATTAACTAGATGGGAGGACAGCAGTTTCTGAAAGGCAACTTCACAACCTCAGCCAGCTCAGGTCAAAGTGGAACGGAAAGAAAACCAGAAGAGCAGTCTCGCAAAGTTAACGTCAACATCCAGATGTTTGGGCGCAGAGAATTAGCCAGCTGCTTCAACCTACTTCTCCTCCCCATTTCCCAACTACTATTTCCCAGTAAAAGGTGCGACATTGTTTACAAAAAAGCTTTCACATTGTAATGAACCCAGTGATTCAAACGTAAACTTTCTTCATAAGTAAAGTGAATAGGAGCAGCACGACAGATGTAACCACACTGAGGTCTCTCTTGCAGTCAGCTGATCCAATAGCCTGGACTATCAGAATGCCGTAACTATTCCATCCATTCATACGACGCAGAACGATTACTACACCCTTGTGAGAGCCTTGGGATGTCCTCCCGACGTGAAAGGCGCTATATAATGTCATCTTGTTCTTGTTGTTGTATACCCAGTGACCATAAACAACAACAAATTACAATTGTACAGCGCCATTCACGTTGGAAAGACGTCCCAGGGCGCTGGTCAATCAAGGGTTTTGGACCTGAACTGGGAGTTCGGGTCAGAAGGGGAGGAGGGCAGGGAGGGTTGCCAAAGGCAGGGTCAAAGAGAAAGGTCTTCAGACAGGACTTGAAGGAGGCAAAAGAGGGGTTGAGGCGGCCGGATTGCGGGATAGAGTTCCAGAGTGTGGGGGCAGAAATGCTGAATGCCCAACTGCCAATAAAGAGTCCAGTTATCAGTGTTAATAAAATAAACCACCTAAAACCAGGATAGATTAGGAAAAGCTAAAAGCTGTGCACATTCTTAAAACAATTATGAATAGTCATGGGGTCAGTCAGCTCAGGAGACTAAACCAATCACGTGTCAAAAACAGCTAATTGCTCCATTCTCAGCATTGACACGATGGATCTCGACTAAACAATATTGAAGGGAAGGCTGGAGACTTCAGATGTCAGTAGATCAAAGATTCTATCAGTCAAACATTTGTGCAAGTTGAAGTTGCTCCCACCAAAAACAATAAGCAGGTTCAAACTCTGTTATAGGCAATTACTTTAAAGACTCTTCAATAATGGCTAAGCTCAACTAGTCAATCCTGCTAAACCAGAGCACTCTGCCTTAAAATAACTTTGTCAAACATGTAACAAAAAAGGTGGTAAAGTCATGAATGGCTACACTGGGTAGGTGTAATTACACCTGATCAAAGTGTTTCTGGAGTTTTCAGAAGTTCACTGTTACTCATATTTTGTTCTAACAAATGTAACAAAACAGGGTAATAGAAAATAATTCCCATTGATTGCCCCATCAAAGCGAAGCAGGTCAGCTTTGCTCAGTTGGTTGCACTCTCGCTTCCGAATCAGAAGGTTGTGGGCTTGAGCTCCACGATGGAATCTGGAACTCATAAGCTGATGCTCTAGTGCAGTGCTGGGGGCTATGCTGCATTGCTTGGAGGTGCCATCTTTCGGATGAGACATTAAACCGATGTCCCATCTGCCTGTTCAGATGAACTTTAAAGATCCCATGGAAGTATTCGAAAAGTGAAGGGAGTTCCTCCTGGCCAACAATCACCCAAATAATATTGGTCATTCGTTTCACAGCTGTTTGTGAAATACTGCTGTGCGCAAATTAATTGCCACATTCACCCACAAAATACACAGTCACCACACTTAATAATAATAATCCTTGCATTTGATATAGCGTTTTTCACATCTTCTAGACGTGTCAAAGGTCTTCACAGAACAGACTGTAAAGTGAATTGACTGTGTGTTTGTGGGCAAAATGCGGCAGCCAACTGCACACAGCAGTGTCCCACAAACAGTCGTGTATATCCTGTGAAGAACTTTGAGATGTCCTGTTAACATGAATGGTGTTATTCCAAATGTAAGGATTTTTAACAATGCCTTATATTTACTAATGATCTGCCGAGTTTTGACAAAACATGCATTCTCACTGAGCCTGCTTACTGCTATCTTGCCAACCACCCCAGATATTTATTTAGAAGTGGCACTAAATTTATCAACCTTGAAAAGCTGGGCTGAATGAACTCATCGAGATCTGAACCAAGGAACTTTTGGTCCCACATCCAATGCTCAACCGAATGAACTCCTAGGGAGAAAAACACTACCACATATCTGAAGAACGTACTTCCCCCTCGCTATCCTCAAATGTACACATAATTCTGATTAAATCGTGAAATGCGAAGGGAAATGACTCTGGCGACTGAACCTGGCATTCCTTAATTAGCAAGCTTGTTTGCATAAGGCACTCTTGAATCTTTCCCCAAGCTTAGGGTGTTTTCAATTTAATAAAATATGTTGAATCCCATTCGTAGATAAGTTTCTGAAAACTCCCTCGAACGACTCGACTGGTTCTTTTCCCCCATGCAATCAGAGTACAGAAGGTGCCTTTCCTTGACTGAAAGCTGAAGCCCTTGAATGTGTAGTGACTGTCCTGTTGCTGTCACACTCGTCCAACACTTTTTTTATATAAAAAATCGGGCAGACAGGCAAGGCAAAGGCGCTTTCCCATTACAGCAAACGCCTCGCTGTTAGAGGGCACAGGTCCAGATACAGGGCACATTTGTTGAGCAGGGGATGTGTTACTTGTTCGCTTCCAAACGCATAGATTGTTGGCCGGACACCGTGGGGATTAAAACAAAAACTGTCTATTTTCCCCTCCCTGAGCACACAGGGCTCCTGGGGCTGGGGGTGGGGCCTGGGGGTAGGGGGCCTGAGGGTGGGGGCCTGGGGGGGGGTGGGGGCTGGGGGTGGGGGCTGGGGGTAGGGGCCTGGGGGTAGGGGCCTGGGGCTGGGGGGGGGGGAGAGAGGGGGAGAGACAAGGGGCGACTATCAAGGGGGAGGATGAGGCTTTTGGGGGGTGAAATAGGGGGTCTTTCTACTTCTCTCTCTCTCTCACACACACACACACACACACACGTTGAGCGGAGGCGGCGCTACTCCCCGCCCGCGGGGGTGTCACTGCACAGGACTCGGGGAGACATTCCCACCACCCCGGAGGCTCCTCGGCTCAGCCTCTAAGGCCCGGGACCCCCTCCTCAGTCCCACCCGACAGACCCTCACTCAAAGCCGGGGATGGGGCCTACCCCCGGGGTGAGAGGGGGACGGCTCCCCGCTGCTCGCAGTGTTTCTCGCCCCCCTCCCCCCCACAACAACAACAACAGTATTGTCACCCCCCCCGGAGCCTCACCTTGTGTCCACTTACGGTCCGGGTCCCGAGCGCCGCGCACTGCACTGCACTGACTGACTGACTGACACCGATCGCCACCACCGGAAGAGGCGGGATCGCTCAGCCCTTGATGGACGCGGCTCCTGACCAATCACAACCGCGTCCTGTGGGGGGCCGGGAGGGGGGGGGGAAACGGGGGACGCCTTGACGGACAGTCGCGTCATCCAACTCGTGACGCGACAGCCGAGCGGGCCAATGGGGAGAAGGCGGGGGCGGGACCCCGGCGGGCAGGCCCCGCCCCCTCGCCCTGGGCTCAGTTGGTGGTGGTGAATGGCTGCAATTCATCTTCTATCCCCAATTTTAATTCATTATTTTTCCAAGTTTCGCCCACAAATCTACGGTCAATGCACTTTACAGTCATATTCTGTGAAGCGCTTTGAGGTGTCGAGAAGACGTGAAAAGCGCTTATATATCAAAATGCAAGGATTGTTATATATTATTTATTATATATTATATTATATAGAAGGATGAAGGAGGCTCTTCAGCTCTTCTGATCTAATTCCTCCGCTACAACCAACTCAACCGGTTGTCAGTCGATTAGCGAAGCTAAACACGATAGGTTACAGGAGGATTTGAACATACTTGGGAATTGGGCAGATCGGTGGCAAATGAAATTCAATGTGGAGAAATGTAAATCCTGGAAGGGGCTATTATTTGAACGGAAGGAAAATAAATATGTATGGAAAATGAAAAGGACCTGAGGGGTCCTGATTGATAATAACTCTCCCAACAATGTTCTGTGGCAGTGAGTAAAGCAAACCAGATGTTGCGATGTATCAAAAGATCAATAGCAGCTGAAATAGTGGGGTAATCCTGCCACTGTATAAATCATTGGTGGGACCAGACTTAGAGTACTGTGTACAGTTCTGGTCGCTGCAGTACAAAAAGAATTTTGGAGAAATCGAGAAGAATCAGAGGAGGCCAACCAAAATGATTGAGTGAATGAAAGGATTGGACTATGAGGAGCGACTAAGTAAATTGGGGATTGTTCACGCTGGAAAAGAAAAGATTAAGAGGCGACATGATTGCTGTTTTTAAGATTCTAAAGGGGCAAGACAATATAGATCAGGACAGGCTGTTTCAACTTGTCCAGAATAGTAAAACCAGAGGACATGGCCTGCGATTGAAGGCGGGTAAACTCAAAACAAATCTACAAAAACACAATTTCAGTGAGCGAATAGTGAACCTGTGGAACAGGCTCCCTTAGGAGACAGTTGAAACAAGAAGTGTTGATTTCTTCAAACTCAGATTAGATAGTTTTCTCTGAGGAAATAACATTATGCGATATAGTACATAGGTAGTTTGGGACATGTGTACATGCGACCGCCAGGAAGGTGAAAGACGAACTAGATGGATTTAATCTTTTTTCGGACAGCATTTATTATGTTCTTATGTTATAATCCCTTCAAAAAATAAATGAAAATAATAACATTTGGTCACTCAATCCACAATTGCTTTGTGCGCAATTGGTTGCCACATTTAGCCAACAAAATATAGTCAATTCATTTTACAGTCTATTCTGTGAAGCGGTTTGAGACGTCTTGAAGACGTGATAAGGCATTATATCAAATGCAAGGATCATTATTGACAAGCTGTCTTTTAAAGGCGTCTAGATCCTGGCTTCAACCACGGTTCCTATAGACAAGAGGAATATTATCATCTGCAATCTACTATTAAAGAGGAATACCTTCATTTAAAAGTGTTGAGTAAATGTTTATTGTCTGCAAAGCAAGCATTTGATTCAACAATAATTCAGTTGAAAATATATAACTGTATATCAAAAAAGTAATTATTTTTTCGCCTTCAAGTGCATTTTATCAGTAGGAGATTAATAATGGAGTTCCACAGAGGATGCTGCTGCTTAAAGTATCATTCTTGCTCTGGAAGAGGATATAGCCACCAGTGTTTTCAGATTTGCTAATGACACCAAACTATGTAGCCAAATACGAGTGAAACTGATAGCTTTCAAAAGGATCTGAGCAAGGAATTGTAGAATTTAATGGGGATAAACAAATTAGGTAATGCACAGTGAACAATAATGCACATTGTCACAAAAATAGACACTGAGAATGGGTAGTGTCCAGTTTCAAATATGGAATGGAATAGGATTTGGGTGTGATCATTAAGCCTACCCAGTCACGTCAGCAAACCTTCTCAATTTCTGGGATGCACCTCAAGGTATTTTTATTGGAATATGAAACATATTGTCATAAGCCTGGGCAACTGGGCTTTGTTTGGTTTCAAACTCCCAGCCAAATGTTCCTTCTGTTTCTACCTAGGGAAGTAGCAGATGCCTGGAATCACCACCGCTTCAATTCTCCCTCAATTTGATACAGAGCCTTATAACGTTGTTGAGATGCCTCAAAACACTTCACAGGACTTTGTGTATCTTTGTACGTAAGTGCGGCAGCCAATTTGCACTCAGCGATGGCCCACAAAGAGCCAAAAGGGAATGACCAATTTTATCTGGGGAATTGTTGGCCAGGATACCAGGAGAAACTCCCTTCTCTTTTTAAGTAGTGCAATGGGATGTTAAAGTCCATCTGAACAGGCAGACGAGACCTCAGTTTAACATCTCATCCAAAGGACGGCACCTCCAACAATTCAGTGTTCCCTCAATACTGAACTGGAATTCAAAGTCACCTGCACTCACCATAATTTTGGTTGTGGGAAAATCAAAGGGTGCGATTATTGATCATTTATTAAAACATGAAGTTGCAGGTAGCAAATCAAACACCTGTTTGCAGGTCAGGGGTAATTCACCAGTCAACAGACTATCTAACCTCATACTGGGGACTCATACAGTTTTGTGCACCTTTGAAGAGTACATGGGCCAGAATTCAGAGAAGAGCAACAGGTTGTTCCTAGCAATTAGACCAGAAATTGATTGCGCTTTCAGTCATCTTTCTCCGCCCCATTCCCATAGGCTCCCACTGCCAGCTCGGGCCCCAGCCAGTACTGTCAATCTCTTTGAGACGTCCTCCCAACACGAAAGGCACTATAGAAATGTGAATTGTGTTGCATTAAACCAACTGCAAAAGCGAGAGCAATGTTGTTTTTCCCAAGGCAAACGCTGCCACCTGGTGGGAACAAACCATTATTACCTGGATATCTGCACAACCCATCACCTATATACAGGAAGAACATTTCATAGACAATTGTTGTTTGGGAGTTCAGGGAACTGTGGAATAAAACTCAAAATTACGATTACAAACTGATATGCTTGTTCTGAAATAGGGATAAAATGACAATGTGCAAGCGTTCTATCATTCAGTACCATCCACTGCAATGGGCAAAGACAGTCAAACACACTTAAATGTCCATCAGCCCACACATAATAATAATAAACAGGTCGTTGAGATGTCTCAAAGCACTTCACAGCATATACTGTAAAGTGAAGTGACTCTATATTTTGTGGGCGAAATGCGGCAACCAATTGCACACAGCAGTTTCCCACAAACGGTCATGGATCAAGTGATCAAATAATTATTTTTAAAATTTATTTTTTAAGGGATTATTTTCCCCAGAAAGCGATCTGCCAATCAACTAACACCCTGGCTTCCTATTTACTGCTAGGCAAACAGAGGCTTGTAGTGTAAGGAAACTTGCCTAAGGTTTGTCCCTGCCGGGAGTCAAACCCTGGTCCTCTCACTTGCGAGGCGGGTGCTCTAACCAATATGCTAGTGCAACCACATGACTGGCAGGGACTGGAGAGTGGTCTGGCTACAAACAGCAGCAATAATATAAAGGGCATGAAAAGTTAGCATTAAGATACTGAAGGGAGATTGGCAGTCAAATATTGCTGAACAAAGGACCCCTGAAAAGGAGGCAGATCGGGGTGCAACAACAACATCATTTACATTTGCATAGCGCCTTTCACATCAGGAGGACGTCCCAAGACGCTTAGGTGCAGGAGATAAGATGCGAAGAATAGCAGAACCACAATATCAAAGTCTCTACATTCAGCGTGAAAGATTCTCCCTTCCACACCCTTTCGTTTCACTCCAAAACCCATGCTTTTGGTAGCGTAAATTCTAGATTTGCATTATACCTCTAACATCAATTTGACATCACTTCATGGCTGTTCGTGGTACGTTGCTGTGTGCAAATTGGCTGTCAGGTTAGCCTACCAAAACTAGTCATTTCACAGTAAAACCTGTGCAGCGCTTTGAGATGTCTCCGTCACACGATACAGCACTTTATCAAATCCAAGGAATATCGTTATTAATAATATATTTTTTGGTCCACGTGATGCCAGAAGTACAGTATAAATCTGATTTAGGGACTAATCTAATCCATTTGATTATTAAGCTATCTCCAAAAGGCAACACTGAAAGAATTGTGTCATTTTTATCACGTACTTTGGCAGTCAGCGACACGTTCAGTTAAAAATCACGATTTGAAAAAACAGTCAAAAACTGAAGGTGCGAAAAGGAAACATTTACTCACAGTCATGATTCAGATTCATTGTTTGAAGGGTTTAGGGACACTCAAGATCCCTCAAGCTCTCGCAAAAGTTCTACTTGATTCTAAGTGCTGCTTGCGTTGGCGATCTCTGTGTCTCTGGCTTGTTTCCTGAGTGCTGCGTGCGCCTGTGTTGCTTTCTGCTTGGGTTGGGGAACTGGGCATTTCATGGGGTTGTTGAAATACGAAGTGGAGTTTGCCATCCCCTCACCGGCTGATGTCTGCATGAGCCGCGGGAAACAGCAGGAAAACATTTGATTGACGAGGTTCTGATAGACATTCCGGTCAAAATCTAACAATAATTTGCTGACACTTTTGCAACTGTCAGAAGCTGAGACTTGGCTTCTCTGTCTTGCATAAAAGTGATGGGGTGGGAGAGAAAATTTGCCGAAGCAACTTTAACATTGAGAATTTAAGCTGATAACAAACGGGAAAGGAGAGATAGAAACCAATGTGGATATTAACAGAGGGAAGCGCTGAACTGAGAAAAGAGAGAAGCAAAAAGCAGCCAAACAAGATCTAAGAAATAAATGTTTTAAAAAATTATAGATGAGAAACTGGAGTTTACAGTTACAGGGATGGGCTCAATGCCGTCAGTGTAGGTATAGTTGGGGCAACCCATCTGATCTACAATTATAATAATTAATAACAATTATGTTTTAATAAATCACTTTATTCTGAATGGAATATATTTGATAAGCATTATGATCCTGGGGATATATACTTAATCATCATTCAACATTCAAGTCATCTCTTGCCTGTGCATTAAAGTCTTTGCTGAAGTCACTATTAAGGATTACAAGTGCAGCCAATACAGGTAAATCCTAATTTACCTTCATTCACATTTTAATTCCTTGCAATTTCTGATTTTAACACATTCAAGACAAAACACGTCAAATCTAAATTTTAAAAAATTCACAAAAAACATACTCACCTTTGCTCATCTCACAGCATATTATTATAAGAATTAGGAGCAGTAAAAGAAAAACCCCAACAGCGATACTAACAGACATCCACCATGTGGATGTGTGCACTGGTTCTGCAACAAATGCACAAACCAGAATGCAAAGGTCACTTTCTCAAAGAGAAATGTATCACTGAGAATGCTTTTCCAACCTTGTGACTTCAGCATGCAGTAACAAACAATATGATTTAATAATAATAATTATAATAGTAACCCTTGATTTTGATATAGCGCCTTATCACGTCTTCGAGACGTCTCAAAGCACTTCACAGAATATTTTGTAAAGTCAATTGACTGTATGTTTTGTGGGCGAAATGCGGCAGCCAATTTGGGGGGCGGTTTGAGGGAATTATTACCCCAGAAAACAAACCACCAATCAACCAACAACCTACTTACGACAAGGTAAACTGGCGTGTGAGGTAAGGAAACTTGCCTACCATTTTGCTTCGCCCGGGAATCAAATCGGGTCTTTTTGCTTACGAGGCGAGCGTGCTAACCACTACACTACGGAACTCTGATTTTATTAATAATGATACCTTATATTATTAATAAATAATAATAATCCTTAAATTTGATATAATGCCTTTCACCTTGGGAGGACATCTCAAAGCGCTTCACAGGATTTACTGTAGGTGTAAAGTGTGTATTTTGTGGGTAAATGTGGCAGCCAATTTGCGCATAGCAATTCCCCACAAACAGCCATGAAGTAGTTGGCTAGCCATGTCCTGGCTAGTAAACTTGGCTATTAATATTTAAGAAAATAAAAGCGAATATTCTGTAAATAATGGGGGGGGGAAGGTGGTTAGAAGCAAATGGAAAATTATTTTAAATGATCTCCTCTGTGTCATTTGTATAATCTTAAGCATAGTGATGGTTTTTCCGCATGTATCGGACACACGGCTGACCAAAACGAAAGTCGAATACCTTCTCATCATCAAAGCAGTGCCCACTTTCAAGCATCTCATATCAACAATCATCTTGTCTTCAAAACGTTAAAGCCAGGATCACAATAATCATGGGAGCAGCATTGAGAAAAGTCTAACCATTACCTGGAGAGGTGAAAGTGTAATTGGAGATGGCTGGAGTCTGGAGAGAGGGATGGGAGACTTGACAGGTATAAACTGTCCCCGGCTGCACAGAGCTTTTCTCTTCCATGGAGCTGGACACTTGAAAGAGCCCCTGTTCACTCGGCTGTACATCAGTGCTGATCCCCGTCGCAATCTCTGAGCCATTCACAAACCAGCTGAGTTGCAGCTTGTCTGGGTAAAACCCATGGGTCTTACACACCAGCTTCAGAAACACAGATGAGCTCCTTTCAAGCGGGACGGAGGTGATCTTCAAAGGAGCTGGGGGAACTTGAGAGCAGATAACCGACGAACATGTTTTTTTTTAATTTAAAACGGATTATGTTGTCAGACTCTGGTTTACACTGCAATAGGCAGCGACGTTATTAAAACTTTGATAAAACTTAAAGAAAGTCTAAATCTCTCATAGTGCTTGACAGGTAACACTGCCTTTAAAGGGTAGTAATTGTATTTGCCAGCAAAAGAAACAGCCAATTTGTCCACGGTCCTCCAGTTATGAAGTAATGACTAAATGGGAATCTGGGGATTGTTGGCCAGGACATCTGGAGAAACTCTTCTTTTTGGAATAGTGCAGGTGGGTTGTTTAATCTCCACCTGAACAGGCAGATGGGATGGCACCCAGAGCAGTAAAAAGAGATACAATTGAAATAAAAGTGAATTTATTGTGAATTTATTACTTATCCACAGCATGCAGTTCTGAATTATTTTAATTCTAAATTACGTTATTAACTTACAAGTGATCATCTTATAAATTTATCATTATATTAATTTTTAATTGATAATTTTTATATCAAATGCAGGAATTTATTATTCCCAGATGGGTGCAGAATGGGGAGGGTATGTAATTTAGTGCTGTCCGCAGGCTGAAACATGACTATAATAATAATAATCCTTGCATTTGAGATAGCGCCTTATCGTGTCTTCAAGACGTCTCAAAGCGCTTCACAGAATATACTGTAAAGTGAATTGACTGTATATTTTGTAGGCAAAAGTCAAATAAAAGTTTTCACCTTAATGTCAGGCTATTATAATTCTTTGTCATTTACAGTAAAATTCATAAATATTAAGGTACACAACAACAACAAGATTTCATTTACATTACACTTCAGTGTTGCGTTTCTGGAGGTTTTTTATCCACGGGGATGGGTGAGTCAGGGGCTGATCTGGTCTCTATCAGGATGCAGATCTCTAACTTATTTTACATTTTTGTTTTATTAATTTATATTTTATACCTATCTTTTTTTAAAAAAAAGTATGTATTTCCAAAGAATCGAGCAAAAGATCTCTGAAACCCAGAGAAAGTTGATGGTTTTGTGTGCCTACAGATATTTCTCGCTTCTGTTCTGTAAAAGACTTTCTGTGGACATTTTAAACAGCTTTGAAGTGTGAAGTAATTTTGAGACCTTTCGAAGCGGACACTCAATGCAAGAATTATTTTGTCAATCAGAAGAACAGAGAAAAGAAGTTGTGGCTCATTTATGACCCATTTCTGATGGTGATTTTGTTTCTCTTTCTAAATTGCATTGAATATTGAATGACTTTTTTTCAAATGAACTTAAAAATATCATATACACAAACTCCCCCTGTCTCCAAGTCAGATTGGAGATTTCAAGCAATTGTTTTATTTCTAAGTGCCCTTTACTGTTTTTGTTTGTTCAGCCTGGCTGACACATGCTGAAACCCAACACCATGCTAAAGAGTATCGAAACCAAATTAAAAATTCTTTGCATCCGACTCACTTTACAGTCAAGTTAGAAAACTGACCAATATTAATGAGCTCCAATATTGTCCATCACCATATGTAATATCTAACACAGTGTCAGAATGCAGATAAGATTTGTAATTCTCATTGTGTCTGTTGTGGGCATTGCCAAATGCAAAGTGACTGTCTAGCCTACAAATGCACAGTTGTTATACTTTATAGAAACTGTGTGTGGGTATTGACATTCTTGACGTTATAAACGCTGTATCAAGGATTATTTATTTACTCTGTGGATTCCCAACATTGGAGACACTCACTGTTTACATCCAGCCATGTGCCATTTCCGTTACCGCTTTGAAGCTCGTATCTGACTCTGCAGTAATAGCGTCCCGAGTCCGAAAGACTCAAATTTAGGAGGTGAAAGTCAGCGCTGCCTTGATTCACAACTTCAAATCGATTCCTGGTATCCTTTCTGTTCAATAATTCCTCTTCTCCCTCCCTCCCTCCCTCCACCAATGGACATCGATTTAGGATTTATCTTTGACAATTGGGAAAGAGCAATAAAAGGTCGCAGTTGTGCCTTTAGTCCTTCTCAGCTGCTCAGGGACCTGTTTCACATTCTGGAGAGGTTTCCAGGTAACTGGAGGAAAGGAAAGTAACAATTAATAACACAGTAAATAAATGCGAGTTAAAGGCACTTCACCGGAAGGAATCTGCGGACACGGGAAAACCGAAAAAGACAATCAAAGTGAAGCACAACTCCAATATTTGGAACAAAAATTATTGCACAGAAACATTCCAGTTTGGGTAAATGACCTTTCTGCAATGTGATCACACGCACCTGTGTAAATCATTCCCAGCCTCAAAAGCAAGAGAAGTGTCCTCACAGCAAACATTCTGAGTAAAGATCCTTAACTCAATCCATCTCTTCATGGAACTGGGAGCAAACTTGAGGTAGGTGTGAAAGACAAAGACTTTATAGGTAATGTGCCCTATAGTGTGTGCAGACTTCAGACATCGCACTGCAGTTTGTGATACCGGATGTGTTTGTTTTGGGGTACTGACCCACATTTGGGAGAGTTTACTGGGTAATAAGAGTAAAATAAAGACACATTAGCTACTTACTTCTGACGCAAAGACAAAATAGTCACTGCACTTTACAGTATCATGTGAAGCGATTTGAGACATCCTCCAGAAGTGAAAGGCGCAATAATAATAATAATCCTTGCATTTGATATAGCGCTTTTCACGTCTTCTAGACGTCCCAAAGCGCTTCACAGAATACTGTAAAGTGAATTGACTGTATATTTGTGGGCGAACGCGGCAGCCAATTGCGCACAGCAATGTCCCACAAACAGTCGTAGATTGAAAATGACCAATTTATTATTTTTTTGTTTTGGAGGGATTATTATCAAATGTAAAGATTATTATTACAGAATTATAATTAATAACTAACTAAACAAAGGATCCAAATGAACTTTGAAAAGCAAACTAGAAGTATAGCTGAAAAGGGGTGAACTACAGAGGTATAGAGAAGGCAGGTAAATGAGCTTGTAAGGATTGCTCTTTAAAAGATTCTACACAGCAAGATGACCTTCTCTGTTGTAAATTTCTATGCTTCTATAGTTCTCAGATACAAACTAAATTAAATTGTGCATGTTAAGCATAGCAATTATAAAAATGTTAGTTTTTTTATAAAAAACAAGGGTAAATATTACTTTATGTTTAAAATGGAAAAACACACCAGTAGAAATAATCCCCAGAATCAGTACCTAATAATAATAATAATAATAATTGCATTCCATATGCACTCATATGCACGTTGTGTGGATATGTTGAAGGACTTGAAATGTTTCACTGTAAAATTTAGTGACTATTTTGTAGGAGAACATAGGAGGAAACATGACAATAGTATTTCAATTGATGAGTTTCACTGATCAGTTAATGCAATTGATAAACGTTTCTCAATGGTTTCAGAGCAAACAGCTTTGAGACGTCTTAATGCTGTGATAAGGCACTAAAATGCAAAGATTATTATTATCATTATATGGTATCATGGTGAGCACTCTTATCAGTGCTGTGAGCAGCTCCATTCTCCAATGCAATAGAGTGACCTCCTGCATCACAGAGAACATCATTGGAGCTGTTTCTAATAATTGTGGTCAAATGGACATTAGTTACTTGTAACTTTCCTAAGATAAATATTAAAGCATTGCTAAACATCCAAACATTAACCCATTTAAACTCACACACTTTAATAAAAGTTTGAAGCTGTTGCACAATATCGATAAATATAAAGAACATTCAAAGAAATACTATCTGAGTTTATCTGGGTAACCACACAGCGTAATGGATTCCTATACATGGAGCTGTTGGCGTCTCGTTAGCCCTGCAAAGATCGAACAGTTGGACAAATACCAAACTATATGGTCACTATTATTCTTCCTTTATACCACTGCCTCATTGGATAATGAGTAAGTCAATGGGGAAAATTCTATTTCAATCCTCCTTGAATAGCAACATGTTGAAATTGGCTGGACTGTATGTAGAGGACCAGAAAGAAAGCACAAACACACAGAAATGGATTTCTCCAGTTCGCTAACCTTTTCTATGGATTCCTCTCGAACTTCAATCTGATCCCGCTCCCTTTTCTGTTGCTTGGGATCCAACTCCACAACCGTGCAGCACCCCGAGACGTTATCCTACGTGAAGGGCACAATATAAATACAAGTTGTTGTTGATGATTGTTTGAAGATGTTCTCCTTGGTCTTTGCCAATGGTACTCAATGACAAATCACTAGGAGATATGCTATGGGCCTACATAAATGACTCATCTAATCATCTCTACATTCTCGCCTCACCACTCCACTCAGGAATTAGTTAAGCAGAATGTTTCGATTGAGCTTTGCTCTATTAAGGAGTCATATTGGATTCGAAAATCTCTGAAATTGTCACGCAAATAATAGACTAAATATACCAATTAATTACATTCAAATAATTAAATTTAGCAATTCTATTGGGACAATATATTAACAGAATCAAAGCAGAAATTCTTAACAGGTAATTAACCCATTTAAACAACTTCAGGGGTAATTAACTGTTCAAAACTGTTTAAAATGGATTTGTTTATCCCTTCAAACAGGTTGGTCATTTTATATTTAAAATGAAATACTGAGATATAATAATTTAGCCTCAAAGGTAGCAGGTTCATGCCCCGCATCAGGACTTTATCATAGACTAGTCTGACACTCCAGTGCAAGTGCTGGGGTCATGTTACACTGCTGGAGGTGTCATCCTTCAGATGATACATTAAATCAAGGTCCTGTTTGCCTGTTCAGGTGGATCCAAAAGATCCCATGGCATTTTTTGTAAAGGAAAGGGTGTCCTGGCCAACAATCGCCCAGATAAAATGATTGCCGCGTTTGCCAATTAAAACTCACTACACTTCACAGTAAAATCCACTGAAGTGCTTTGAGACATCTCGGGGAGATAATAATCTTTGAACTTGATATAGCGTTTGATCCGAGTCTTCGAGTCGTCTCAAAACGCTTCGCGGAATATACTGCGAAGTGAGCTGACTGTCTATTTTGTGGGGCGAAGCCCGGCAGCCAATTGCGCCCGGCAGCGTCCCGCAAACCGTCGCGGATTGAGTGACCGCGTTTTTATTTTTCGAAGGGATTGTTCACCCCGGAAAGCCATCCGCCAAATCGACTTAACAGCCGGGTTCCTCCGCACTGCTGGGTAAGCGGGGGCGCGTGGAGCGAGGAAACACTCAGCCCGACGTTTCGCCCCGACCCCGCCCACCCGCCCGCCCGGCCGCCCGGCCATCAAACCCAGGTCCTCTCGCCCGCGAGGCGAGCGCCCTTAATAACCACTGAGCTACAAGGACTCCGGGACAGTCACTACACTTCACAGTAAAGTCCTCTGAAGTGCTTTGAGACGTCTCGGGCAGGCGATGAGGACTCCCCACTGCCAGGAGGAGGAGGAGGAGGAGGAGTATTATTATTATTAATAATAATAATAATAATAACAACAACACACAACTGAAGCTCTGCCTTCGGGGCTCAGGGTAACGCGCTGTGTTTGGTGCTTTGCTCTGCAGTGGGGCAGTAAGCGGCTGTTCTCTGGGGATCCGCCGGGGGGCAGCAGCGAGTGGGCGCCGCTGACAGGAAATCCCGCGGCTGCTCTTGGCTTCCTGTTTACGCGGGCCGCTCGGTTGGTGTCGGCCCGGGACTGCGGCCCTCTCCTCGCCTCGCCTCGCGCCGGGAGTAACCTGCGGCGGCGCTGCCGTTGCTGACCATCGCAAACGCCGCCCGAAATCCGGGCCCCGCTCTCGCTCCTCACCGACCGACCGGCCGACCGGCCGCGACCTCCACCTCCACCCCCGGGGGTGGGGGGGGGAGGACGGGAAGCGAGCGAGCCGGCAGGGCCGCGGCTTTGGGGCCTGGTGAGCGCTGGAAAAACCGACCCGCCTGAGGAGCTGAGGTGAGTAGCGGGCGGGCGGGCGGGCGGGCGGGGCGCGGCCCGGCGGGAAGGGCGGGAGGGGGGCGGTTTAAGCGTTAGGCGGGCGGGCGGGCGGGGGATTACTAATCGGGGCCGCGGCCTCGGCCACCGCCTCCCGACCCGCGGTCACACGATGCGCTGAGGGGGTGGGAGGCGGCGGCGGCCATTGTCCGCCCTGCCCGGCCCTGCCCGGCCCGGCCCTGCCCGGCCCGGCCCGGCCGGCCCCCGACAGGCAGACAAGGGGGAAAGGCCAGGGAGAGGAGCTGCTGCTACCGCCCGCCCACCCGGCCCGCACCGCCCGGCCGGCCCGCACCGCACCGCCCGCGCCCGCACCGCACCGCACCGCCGACCAGGCGGCTAATGGCCGGGTTCGGGTCTTGTGCTCCGGGCTCTGATATTCAGCGCTGGTCACTAGCATTTTCCGCCCCAGGGAGTCGTATTCGGCCGCATTTCCCGCGGTTTATTAATCCCCTCACAAAATAAATAAATAAATAAATAAATAAATAAATAACAATAATTATCATTTGGTCACTCAATCCTCCGCTGTTTGTGGGACACACACACGCACACACGCACACACTGCTGCGTTGGCAATTGCTGCCGCCTTCAGCCCACAGAATGCACAGTCCCGTCCACTTTTATTATTTCCAAGTGCTTTGAAAGGCTCCATAAGGCACTGTATCAAATGCAAGGATTATTACTAGTTGTGGTCGTATTCAGTCCTGTGCACTAGGATTTTCCAGAGCAGAGTCTGGTCCAGCCTTGGGTCCTGCAGCAAAGAAATGCAGATCCCCCCCCCCCATCAGTTCATGAATGCTAATAGAAAATGCTGTTGTAAGCTGTGCGTTTTATCCAGTGCCTAATGCACCTCAACAGTGTACACCCAGTAATCGCTGTCATCTATAGTGACTATATTGCTGTAGGCAAATGCACCAATCTGTGTCTAGAAGGCTCCCACAAGCAGCCACGAAGTTAACTGTAGATTGACAATGAGAAGATCCCTCTTCTTTGGACCGATGGGATCTTAGTTTTGCACCTCATCTGAAGGATGACATCTCTTGACAATGCTCCATTATTGCACAGGTTTGCAAGTTCAAAGTGCTGCTGTGGGACTGGAACTGACCACCTTCTGACCCGGGGGGAGAGCCAAGTCAATAATTGTGGTGTTTGAATGATATTCTTCAGCAAGAAGCTCTGACACAGTAAATTTTTNATATAGAATCTAAATTTATAGTGGCTAAATGTGGATGAAGCAATGTGATTTCACAAACATCGATAGATATTCTAGGTTGTGTAAACTATGGTGATGTAACACAAGCTCCTTCCAATATATGGAGTATGAAATATTAAATCTGAGTCACCACCCACACAGATGGCAATATGAACTGCAATAGAGGGTAATAAACCCATTACTCACTGTAATTTATACCAGCTACTGTCTGCACCATACATACACAATCTAAACAGCTCATCAGCAAACTGATTTGCATGATCTTCACCCAATAGATAAACTTGCCCAGATTAATGCAGGCGTTGTTGATTCTATTCTGTTTGCAGTTAGTGGAAGTGAGAAGTATTGTAGGGGAAGTGTTCCTGGTCTTTTTGCTCGACTGTGAACTGAATGCGTATCTTGTTCTCACTCTGAATTTGCTGAGTCTATACCAGAAGTTCCTGATTCTTTTCAAATAATAATCCTTGCATTTCATATAGCGCTTTATCATGTAATTGAGACGTCTCAAAGCGCTTCACAGATTATACTGTAAAGTGAATTGACTGAGTATTTTGCGGGCGAAACACGGCAACTAATTGTGCACAGCATTGTCCTACAAGCAGTCGTGGATTGAATGGCTAATTTTTTTTTGAAGGGATTATTACCCTCAGAAAGGGATCTAACAATCGATTTAACAATCAGGTTCCTACTTACTGCTTGGTAACAGAGGAGTGTGGAGTAAGAAAATTTGCCTAAGATTTCATCCTGCCCAGGAATCAAATCCCGGTCCTCGCGCTTACGGGGTGAGTGCTCTACCCACTACACTACGGGACTTTGTAGGTCTACTTGCCATCAATTAGTCCAGAAGGATACCACTGATGGCTGGAAAGTGCAAGAACCAGATTTATACTGTAGTGTGTTTTCAGTTATCAGCCTTCTATTTGAGAGCTCCTCAATTTTCAAATGTAACCCTATGCTTTTCCTCCAATTATATTTCCACCAATTGATTCACTTTGTCATGACCTCCACCTCCCCATACTCGTTGCTCGTCACCTCCATTCTCTCTTGCTCCTGCCCTTGGCCTTCTCTTGCTCTGGCAACCAGGCGATTTCCCTCAGGCTACTCTGCCCCTATAGGCCCATTCCTTACTGCGTGCCTCTGGCATGTCCTTACAGCTTTCATTCTGTCCTGCAACTCTCACCTGCGTCTTTACTCAGCATTCTTCTTCCCTGAAGGCATTTTCTTTCTAGCCTGGTTTGTTTTGGCCAAGCAAGAAATTTAGTGCACTCTGCATCAACAACTCATTACTTTCAGCAATCGGAATTTGAAATGGTGACTGTTAGCCGAGTCCACAAACATAGAGAGGAGAGAATTTAGCCTCCAGATCAAAAGACAGATCTGAGGTTGTTCTTTGGTAATATCTTTGGTCTGAAGATACAAGAGTTCAAGAAAGATAAACAACACTGACAATTACACTTGCGGGTTTCTCTGACAGGTGGTGCTGTGGGCTGTCAATCAGTCCGTAAAATGTTGTTTTCCCCAGGCTTTGTGGTCACGAGTAATTGTGTTTCATGAACCTGTAGGAGCTACCTTCACCACATCACTTCACACTTTTTATGTTGCTGTCTGCCTCCAGCACAAGGTTCTACCCTGCTGCTATTTGCAATGCCAGCCACCGTGGTTTAGCTTGATCAGAACTGCCAACCAGCAACAGGCCAACAGTGTGGAGGCTGAATGACTGACCTGTACCAACCCTTCCTGGAGATCGGGTCGCAGCCAAAATAAGATTGCTACCCATAACTTGATTGTCATTGCATTTGGTCCAAACTCCTACACTCAGTTTCCACTAGTCCTGCCTGCAGTACTCCAAAACCCTTTGATTTCTTCTGTTGCATGTCCCAGCAGAGAAACTGCAGGATCCAGCATGCAATATCTCTTTGACGTTTCTTCATCATTAAATGAGCTAAGACCCTATTATCCTTTATTTACATAGTGATACCTAACTTGCCAAAAAAATGAACAGTATCAGTAATGGAGTCTATTCAAACGGTGCTGGTTGAGTGGCTCCCTATAGTAGCACCTGAGGTGACGTCCTGCCAACGCCAGCTTGCTTGCTTCCTGCTCTTGTCTGAACTGTAAGTTA